AGTGAGCGGACCGGTCTCTATATGGGATCTGAACCCTCGGCGGGAGCGCCGCTGCGCTCCCGAGTGCACCGGGCCGGCCCGTCAACTGATTTTTGTTAAGGGTGCTATGACAATTCAGTGGAAAAAAGGATAACCTTTTCAACAAATTGCTGAGACAACTGGATATACCCATGGAATGAAACAATCCCTACTTCATGCCATATACAAAAATTATCTCAAAATGGATGAATGACTGAAATGTAAGATCTAAAAAAAAAAACAAAAACAAAACTCTTTGAAGGAAACACAAGCGTAAACCTTCACAACAATGGAATAGGCAATGGTTTCTTAAATATGAAACCTATAGCACAAACAACCAACGAAATAATAGATAAATTGGATGTCATCAAAATCAAAATTTTTTGTGCTCCAAACGATACTATCAAGAAAGTGAAAAACCACCCAGAGAATGGGAGAAAACATTTGCAAATTAAATATCTGATAAGTGTCTAGTATCCAGAATATATAAAGAACTCATAACTTAACAACGAAAAACTTAACAACAAAAAGACAAATAACCCAATTTAAAAATAGGCTAAGATTTGAATAGATATTTCTCCAAAGAAGATATACAAATGACCAATAAGTACATGATGCTTAACATCATTAGTCATTAGGGAAATGCAAATCAAAACCACAATGAGATATGACTTCAAACCCACAAAAATAGATACAATAAAAAAGACAATAACAAATGTTGGCAAGGATGTGAAGAAACTGGAACATTCACACACTACAATATAAAAATGATGCAGTTACTTTGGAAAATAGTTCAGCAGTTCCTCGAAAAGTTAAACATAGAGTTACCATACAACCCAGTAATTGCACTCCTAGGTATATACCCAAGAGAACTGAAAACAGTTGTTTACACAAAAACTTGTACACAAATGTTCATAGTAGCATGATTTATATTAGCCCAAAAGTGGAAACAATCCAAATGCCCATCAACTGATGAGTGGATGATGGTATATCATATAATACATATTATATGATATAATGAGGTATATCATATAATAGATATTATTCAATCATTAGTAAAAAGTACTAACACATGCTACAACATGAATAAACTTTGAAAACATTATGTTAAGTGAAATGAAGCCAGATGCAAAAGGCTACATATTGTACAAAGGCTATTTATATGAAATGGCACAAAAAGGCAAAACCATAAAGACCAAAAAGTCGATTAAGTGGTTGCCACTGGCTGGGTAGAACAGGGAATGGGCAGTAACTGCTAATAGTACAGGGTTTCTATTGGGTGTCAAAATGTTTTGGACTTAGATAGTGGTGATGACTGCACAATCTTGTGAATGTACTAAAAACCACTGAATTGTATCCTTCTAAAGGGTGGATATTAGGGTATATGAATTATATCTCAATTTTTTTCTTTTTTTTTTGACCAGTAAGGGGACTGCAACCCTTGGTCTGAGCCACGCTCAGCCAGTGAGCACACTGGCCATCCCTATATAGGATCCAAACCCTCGGCCTCGGTGCTACCAGCGCCACACTCCCCCAAGTGAGCCACGGGGCCGGCCCATATCTCAAATTTTTTAAAGCTATATCAGCCAAATACAATGTCTGCTCCTTGCTTGGATCCTGATTTTTAAAAAAACAATTGTCAAGGGCTGGCCCGGTGGCGCACTGGAGAGTGCGCCGCTTGGGAGCGCAGCGGCGCTCCCGCCGAGGGTTCGGATCCCATGTGGAGACTGGTTCCCTCTCACTGGCTGAGCGTGGTGCAGGTGCAACACCGAGGGTTGTGATCCCACTGCCGGTCCCCGGTACGGGCACGACACCAAGGGTTGCGATCCCGTTACCGGTCAGTAAAAAAAGAGAAAAAAAAAAAAACAATTGTCAAGAAAAAAAATTTTTAGACTATTGGGGAAAATAAATACTAACTTGATATTTGATAGTATCTGGTAATTACTGTGATTATTGTAGATATGATAATGGCATTGCAACTGTTAAAACAAACAAAAAAAATCCTTTATTTTTTAGAGATACATACTGAAGAATTATGAATAAAATGATATAATGTCTGGGATTTGTCTCAAAATATTACAGCTGGGGAGGTGTAAATGAAATAAGATCAGATATGTGTTAAAAATTGCTGAAGCTATGTGATAGAGGTTCATTATACTATCATCCCAACTTTGACTGTTTTAAGCTATCCATAATAAAGCATTTTTAAAAATATATATTTATAATTATTTATACATACATGGAATAAATCTGAATGGACCCATAAGAAATGTATAATACTGTTTCCTTCTGGAAAGGAGAATTGGATAGAAAAGGATATGAGTAGAAGGAGACTCTTCACTGAATGTCCTTTTTAGAGGTAGGTTGTAGAGCAAAAGGGTAACAGCAACAGCCCACCATTACTGGTGTTCAGTAGATACATATTAAAAAGCATCCATTTTTTTTTTTAAAGATAAATAAATGTAAGCCCTATTTACAGATGACTCATTGAGTTTAGCTCACAGTCTCAATCCCACAGGGAGTCAGAGGTGGAAGTGAAAACACTCTAGAATTTCTTATCCCTAATCCAGTCCCTGGGAACACTCACCTTCACTAACAACTTTGTGCCAGTTAATACAGAAGCAGATTTCATAAAAGTAACCAGCAAAGAAAGTGTACTCCTAGAGACGAGGCTCAATCCAATCCAACAATCAGTAGGAGCCAGGAATTCTACCTTCCAACAGAAGTAAGCCAGGCGAAATAAGCTTGACATTTGAGGGAGACAGAGAAAAACCCTTTGTGAGCAGAGGTGATATGACCAGGGCTTTGTAAGCTCCTGGAAGAGCACAATTGTCACTTAGCTCCCCTGGTTTCTAACATATTACTTTTGCAGGGCAGCTTACATACTCTTGGGTATAAATCCTGCCTGGTATAAAAGAGTTTGGTAAATTAAGTTTAGGTAGGCTTGCTTGAAGAGAGATAAATGCATTCATTTACAGATGCAATGCATTCCAGCCCTTTACTGTGGTTTATGTGTATTATGAGTAAAAGAAAAAAATGAAGGTTGCCACCCACCTTGATTCTTGTCATCTGGGTCAGGGTCTGGTTTCAGTCTTTTCACACTGTTGCCACTCTCTGAGCTGTAACAAAAAGCATGGTGATTTCAGCTATGTCCAATCTTGGGGATCAAAGCTTAGGGAATCAGGAACTTCAAAAACAATTTATATGGGTCTTAGGCAGCCTCAAGGAAATGGGATGATCTGAAATGAAAAGTCTTCATTTCAGGTTCTTAATCTCCTTCCAATTATATCAATAGTTAAAAGTTTAAACAACTGACAAATCTAAGGGGTGAAGCATTATACCCTCAAGCATCACTTAAACTTCTGATTCTTTGTTGTATTTATCTTTCAACTTGGTTAGAACCACAGATGGATTTCAAAAATATTTGGACATGTTCACAAACAACAAAAGTTTAGTTAAGTTATTAAAGATTAAAGAAAACATCTTTGGTGATATGCTAGAGATTCTGAAAGTCATCCAAACAACTTTCACTAAAAGAACGTCTAAAGCATGCATTTCAGTGAAGAAAGAAACTATCTCAGAAGGAAGGCCTTAATCCCAGACAAAAAGGATAATGAACGAAAAACCGGCAAATAAAAACATAAATTTCCATTTTTTTTTTAGTGGCTGGCTGGTGCGGGAATCTGAACACAAACATAAATCTAAATAAATATTGTCTGTATAAAAAAATAACATCTAATTTGTGGTGTTAAACATGACCATATTAAAGTCCTGGACAACAGCAACACGTAAAGAAGAGGACAATTATAGCTAAAGCTTCTCGGCTCTGTGTATAAATCTTGTAGGGAGGGAAATTAGCTATTTACTTTAGGTTTTGCTAAGTATGCTTGGTAAATTTCAAGGTTAGCCACTAAAAGAATAGAAGTAGAGTATACAGATCCAAACTGGTAGAAAAAAATGATTTAAAAAATTTTAAAATCTCAATCATTCAAAAAAATATATAAGGAAAAGTATTTTTAAAAAGTAAAAAGACAACATTAAGATGGTGGAAACTATATAAAAAATATTTTTTGGCGGGGGGCGGTGGGGGGCAGCTGGCCAGTACAGGGATCAAAAACCTTAGTAAATATAAATAGACCAAACCTATTAGTAAAAAGAGATTAAGAGATAAATTCAAAAGCATACGTTTATAAGAGACACAACTAAAAACTTAACAATAAAAAAACCCATAACAAACAAGAAAACAACTTACTACCCAGAAAGATTCAAAGTAAAAGAATGGAAAAAAGAGGTACCAAGGCAAATACTAACCTAAACCTAAAGAAGGCTGAGCTATGTATATTAATATTAGGAAAATAGACTTTAAGACCAGAAGCACTGTAAAAGATAAAGAAGGTTATTTTAAAATAAAACAAGATTTGAATTCACCATGAAGAAATAATTGTGAACATGTATGCATCTAATTAAAGAACTTAAAAAATATATATTCTATAGAACTATGAAGAGAAATCAAGAAATCACTATTATAGACTTCAAAATACTTCTCAAGTATTGATAGGGCAAACAGACAAATACATAAAGACACAGAAGATTAGGACAATACAAATAACGAGCTTGATTTGTGGCACCAACACAGAACCCAAAACCAATGGGTATAAAACAGATTTTCCTCACACTTACTTGGAACATTCACAAAAACTAACATTAGAAATAGACAACAGAGCAAGTCTAAAGCAACTTCAACGGAATTAGTGTATACAAACCACAATGCAGTTAAGTCAGATATCATAACAAAAGATAAGTACCATATTTCATAGCCTCTAATACACCATTGACTAGAAGCTGTTAAATGTGTATGTGGGGGAAGGCTTATCTTAGAACCAATGAAATAAGGTTACCTCAATTTGGAAATTAAAAAATATATTTCTAAAGAACAACTGAGTCAAGGAAGAAATTATAACGGATATTTAGAAAGACTTGTAAGGAAATACAAAACTTGTGTACAGTGAAAGCTGAGAAAAATTTATAGCTTTAGATGTCTATAACTAAAGAGAAAGGCTGAAAGTAACTGAGCTACATATCTGACAGTTGTTTATAACAATAAATAATAGAATAAACTTGAAGAAAGAAAAGAATATTCTTCTGAAGAAGGTACGAATTAGGTGCTTGTTTTGTTTTTATGCTCCATAACACACACACCAGTGGCTTCCAGAATTTCACCAGGCATCAGAATCATCCATGGAACTTTAAAAATTAAGACTCCCAGACCTCACTCCAAACTTACTGAACCTGAATTAGTGACAGGCCTGGGAATCCACATTATCAAACTCCCAGGTGATTCTAATAAACCCAGGGCCAAGTAGTTTAGAACTCCTATCCTAGGAGACTAATTCATCATCTTGCTACACAAAGCAATTTTAAATGATGCAGTTTCAAAACCCCAAAGAGGTTGGTTATATGCAGGTCACCAAATAAGCTAATATAGAGCGCCTTCTAAAGGTGTGTGAGGACTAAGTAAGGGAGATAGTTATAAACCCATTCTACTACCAGCAAGTGTACTGCTGAGAGGTAACTAATTGCCCACCTAGAAAGCCCTTCCTTGGCACAGTTCTGTAAAACTGCCCCAGTTCCAAATCCTGAAAGACAATGGACCTCGAAGAAAAGCTTATGTGAGAACTTGAAAGGAATAATTCATGGCTTGGGTAATGGGCCCTTTTCAGGCTACTGATCCTTCTCCCATCTACTGCTACAGCATGATGACATCTTCACATATAGGCAATGTTCCTAGGAACATCTGCAGCAGATGGATAATGTGCCAAACCACAACACTGCATCAATACGTTCCCTTCAAAACACGTGGCTGGTTGCCAATATACCTTATTGATTTTCCTAATAGACTGCACTTAAACTCAACATCATTTCAGCCATGATCTGGTTAGTCAAATGGAAATGACCAGATTCAATCTCTCTGGTGCCATTTCAGGATTTGGAAAGAGAGGAGCAAATATAACAAAGAACTTACCAAAACAGAGCTACAGGTCTGTAACCCTGCCATCACAGCTGCCACAATGCCTTTGCAGGAGCTGTTCCCTCTGCCTGGAATGTTTTCTCCCTTGTCTACCCGTGAAAGACCTAGGCGTCCTACCTAACCAGCATCTTTCTAACGCTTTCCCTAGCTTCCCCAACACAAATACACACACACCCAGACTGGTATGTGTTCCTGCTCCTAGCTCTCATTACACCCTACACAAATCTTTCACAGGACTTGCCACCTCATTTGCCTAGGAACACAAATGCTCAAATATTGAACTCCAGCTCTATTACTGTCTGACCTTGGACAAAGTTTCTTAACCTCTCAATTCTCAGTCTTCTCATTTCTAAAACAGGGATTATAATGATGTGTACATCACATAATTGTTGAGAGGAATAAATGAGATAATGCACTAGAAACACTTAACACAATGCCTGGCATATGGCAGGTGCCCAATGAAGAGTAGCTACTGCTATGTTTGTTGAATGAATGATCAGAGAGACAACAATCAAAGGCTATAGAAAATACCAAATCTGGAAGGGGAGAGAAAGGAAATTCACTGAGACTACATGCTAGGTAACCTTTTGCTCTGGCTACCATTATAAGTGGCATTTCGAAGTACACAGTCAGAGAGAGATTTAAGTTGTATGAGAGCTGCTGACCTCTTATGCTTCACAGCTCCTGCCAACAGCTTTGCCTGGGAGAACTTGTTCTTGGTTTCTATGGGTTTCACAGCCACTTTCTTCTCCACTTCCTTCTTGTTTTCTGAAGAAATTCCAACCTTGTTGAGACTACTGTGAGTTACAGGTTAAGCGTCAAACTAAGCAAAAGGAAGAACTACCACAGAGTAATGGTAAATCAGTAGAAAAATGACAAATGTAACCCACTAGCCCTTCACCCGTGCTGTGTAATGTCGGCCTGTTTATTTAAAAAATACCCCTCCCCTCTTCATTCTTCCAGTCAAATCCAGCTGCTTTAAGGAGAAATGAAGGAAACCACAGAGGAAGACAGGATATCAAGCCCAAAATAATACAGAAAAGAAACTTTTTCTTCTAATTCTCAGTGAAAACCCTTAATGGTGAAAACAAAGAGCTTAAGGAATATAAAGGAAACAAGTGTGGCTTCCCTAAAACTATGAAAATGGTGCTTTTGCTCCCTTAACGGTAAAATCAAATTCTGCAGAATGTCTTTATGACTACCAGTGGTCTTCAATGTTAGACATCATGAAGACTGGCTCCTGCTCTGCTGGTGCAAGGCAGTATCAGAATCACTTCACAGTCTCATTGAAACACACAATCCCTCCCCTGCCCTAAACCTGCTGAATGAAGATCTCTAGAGGCCCAGGAGTCTATTTAAACACTCTCTCAAGGTGATTTTAATGAGAAACCCTATGCATATACAACAAAAGAATCAAAAAGTTGTTTTTAAAAGCATAATCATTCACTTGTAACATCACTTTTTCATGCTTGATGTCATACCTGGCTCTCCACGTCTATCACTTTCACTTGATCTCTCCACCAGCTCCCTCTGCTGCCTGCCTTTTATGCTCTCACGGTTTATGAGACAATAGATAAGTATTCTGGCATGGTGTTAGGTCCTTATTTAAGATGAAGTAGTGCCTTACTGGAACAATAGTGACATCTAGTGCCCAAGAAACTTAAGCAGCATGTATTTATCAGCCTAAAGGGGTTGGTTGGGGTAGAGAATATATACAGTGTAGGTTATTCGTCTATGTGTCTTTGAACAATTGAGAAAACTGACTACCAGAAATAAGAAAATTCCAGTTCTGATCATTCTTCAGGCACAAACTCTGTTCTTTTTTTTTTTTTTTCAGTGACTGGTAAGGGGATCGCAACCCTTGGTGTGGTGTCGCCCGCACCGCGCTCAGCCAGTGAGCGCACCAGTCATCCTTATATAGGATCCAAACCCGTGGCGGGAGCGCCACTGCGCTCCCAAGCGCTGCACTCTCCCGAGTGTGCCACGGGGGCCAGCCCAAAAACTCTGTTCTTATGGGCACCGGTTACCTTAAACATTTACAGTATTCAGTGGGGATTATGTAGAATGCTCAGTATTAGAGTTTCTTCAATTTAATATTTTTAAGGTCATAATGGAAACAGGTAACATGTTAATACTAAATGTTCATTTTTATGGAAAAAATGAAAAAAATAAAGATTTTTATCTTTCTAGTAAAGAATGCCAAAAAACATTAGCATGTAATTTTTACCTGCATTTCTGTCATTAAGGGACAGAAACTCTAAAAGAAAACTCTCAATACTAAATACTGAAAAATAAAACAAAATGGAAAAAATTAACACAACAAAAGTATACATGTATTTATAATACCAGGACACAGATAAAAACCAACATTAAACTTTTTATTCTTTCAAAGTGAAGAAAAACCCCAACCTTTTTTTGGCAGGCAGGGGGTAGTAATAATCTTATTTTTGACCGAAATCTAAAGCATAAGTGATTTTTCCTCCTTAGGACCCTCTCCCCCCAAAATTCTTTAAAACCCCAAGCACACCTCAAAAATCTCAAGGAATTCATTAGATGAGGCTTTAAAAAAAAATCACATGGTTTTTAATACACATAATACTGCTAAATGCTGTTTTAACCTGAGAGGGAACAACTAGAGCTCTGTTGTTTACACGGCACAAACCACAGCTTATTTATATTCAGAAGTATCACACTATAAAATGCATCATATAATAATCAAGCAAAGCTAAGAACCAGCTCCTAATTTAGAGCTTCAAAAAACAAATGTCTAATCCTTCAATTCCTATCTCAACGTGTCTCTGGCTACTTGCTTGCTTGGGATTAGTGCATTATATATTAGAGGGTTGGAAGGCCTGCTTTTCTTCAGCTTTTCTAGACCATCAGAAATTTCCACATTTGCAGTAAAAGCCAATACCCCTGGAGACTCTTCAATGTTGTACTGCAATGTTACCAAGACAGAAAAGCTTCTTTTGCCTCATTGCTGCCCTTTTCATATACATATACATACACACACATACATTATATATATATATGTATGTATATATATATATATATATATATATTTTTTTTTTTTTTAAATTAAAAACCTGTACATAATCTTCATGCATAAAGACCCAGGGGTCAGCATGTTGTGACAGCCCTAACACCAGCTGTCTCAGGCCATTACCTGGGGCTGCCCTGTTCATTCTGTCCTTTTAATTGAAAACTGAAGGGCACCTCACACTCACAGCACTACTCTCCAGAATACTGCTTTGGGAGACACTCTATGTCTTTTTTGCTAGTCTGCCAACATAAAACAAGACATAATTCAAGTGAGAAGTATAACTAATGTATTTCCTCAGAGGAAAAAGCTTGGTGTCTGAAACAATGCAATATATGTATCTGCCTATTTCTACAAACATCAATGCATAATATAATTCTAGAGTCATCAGGGCAGGAGAGAGGGAGTTCAGAAGAATCAATCTCAATCCTACAATGGGACTCCTGTTTTCACGTTGCACCTGAATGCCACTAACAGAACAGGGAGAGAAGCCAGGTCTTTTGCTTCCATTTCAGATCTAAACCAAATCCCAGGTAATCTGTCCACATTTCCTCTCATATAACTCTTGAAAGGACCCTACTGCACAATCCCTGCAAGAAAAATCAACTAGCAGATACACACAGTCATATCACCAATCTTAGAGGTGAAGACTGTTCGATCACACTAGTGAGGTTACTCAACATATAAGCTTGAAATATCCAAATAGGCTTCCTCAAAGGAGGAAAATAGTTAAGAGTGGTTTTATTAACATCTCCTATGAGTCCTTCATTAATTTATTCACATATTTACTGGGAATTTACTATATTTTAAACACTGAGGAAATCAGTAGTGACAAGTCAGATAAAATCCTTGTTCTTATGGAGTTTATTTTACATTCCAGCATTAAAGAGATAAACAAACAATAAGCAAATAAATGAAGATTTTCAGAGAGTGACAAGTGCTATGAAAAAATGGTACTACAGACAGTAATGAGGTGGTTGCGATTTTTGATGGGTGAACAGAGAAGATTTCTATAAGGGAGATCTGAGTTAAGACCTGAGTGCCATGAAATGCCAGCCTTGTAAAATCCGAGAGCAAAACATTTCAGGCTGAGGAAAGAGCAAGTGTGAGGTGGAATCACAAAGTTTGGTGTGAGAGAAGAACATAAAGAAAGCCAGCAGACTGGAGTACAGTGAACACAAAGAAGAGAGGTTTCAAGATGCAACAGGGAGGTAGGTTGGCCTAAGTCATGCAGAGCCACATAGGGCCTGATAAAGAACGTAGGCTTTAGTGTAAATGCAATGGGAAGACACTACAGTGTTTCAAGCAGAAAAGTGACATGATGCCACATATGTTTTTAAAAGTTCCCTTTGTTGTCTGAGGAATAGATTGCTGGGGATAAAAAAGAAACAGAAACCAATTAGATGGTCATAGCAGTACAGAGGAAAGTCTACAATTACTACAGTAATTAGAGAGAGAGCAAGAATTAGTTTTGGAGTACACTTTGGATGTCGTTTTTGGCCAAGGCACCTAGGAGTGTAGGAACTCCAGTTACTGAGACTGGGAAGACCAGAAAAAGAAAAGACTTTGGGGGAGGGCAATGTGATGAGGGTGGGAGTGATGTGGAATTGAGAATTTTGACTCAGCAAGTTACATTTGGGATGGCTGTTAAGACATTCAAATGGATGCAAAAATGTAAAATTAGCCAAAGTGAAGTCATCTTTGTTGCTTTCTCAGTCCCTCTATGGGGAGGGACCACATTATAACCAGTAGAGAAGATCTTACTAAGGACACAAGAGAATTGCCAAACATATTCTTTTAAAACTCAGAAGCCAATTTCTGCCCTGGATGAGGTTGATTACATTGCCCATCTGTCTCAGAGTCTAATCCCACAAGGCAAGAATACCATGGTACTGACTATTAGGATTTATGCCTTTAGTTAATCCTAAAGGATGTGGATTTTTTTATTGTAACAGACTCTTGCACACAACACAAACTCCACAAATCACTGCCACTTATTCAGTCATAGGAAACAGACTTTAGAGATCACCAGATAGAAGACCCTCTTTCTATTTATGAGGAAACTGAAATCCACAGATGATGATGAGAAAACTGACACAGATTTCTCTCAAAGTACAAAGGATATTCTGTATTCCTTCAGTTCTTTCAGTTCTTCTTCTCTTCGTTGCTTTTCTATTAGTTCCTGCTGCCGAGAAACCTCATCAAGGAAGTTGGTCTCATCTTCATCTAAGCCTCTTACCATGTTTTCTGAAGAAATAATTAAACAAGGAACACTTAGCAGTCTAAAGGGAAAATATAGTCAAATAAAATTTTTCCTTTTCCGTTTTTTTAATAAACGGTAGATTCGTCACGGGATTAGAAGAAAGAACTGGTGAACAACATGGCTTTGGGGTAGATAACATGGCATAAAATCAAAGTATTTCTCTCATTACTAGTTATTAGCACAGAATTAAAATGGGTATCTTGAGCTCTAAACAAAAATGCTAAATGTGGTCTAGAAGGCAGAAGACCGTCTCTATTCCACCAAATGAGCATCTGGAGACTAAATAATCAAGACAATTCCATGGCTAGTTAGAAAAAGTATTGCAGGAGGCAAAAGAGTATCAAAAAGGCCCCATGGAGTCCCTTGGATTCTATATTTTCCGAAGCTTACTGAATTTGAACTGCTCCTCATACTCCTGCTGTTTCCTGTCTTTTTGTTCCTGTAGCCTTTCATATAGAGACCGAGGGTCATAAACTTCCTCTGGACATTCTGAAAGGCACAAAAGGGGGTGGGAGAGAAAGAGCGAGACATATATTTTAGAATTTTTCACATTATTTTGGAATCACAAAGGGTTTTAAAGTTAAAGTCTCCCCATGATCTGAGTGCAAGGATAACACAAAAATAGTACAAAGTCCACAGCTTCCCTTTGGACCTCAGGGAGGGGCCAGCAGTTCTCAAAGCCAACTATCAGTCGACAGGGCCCACTCTCCACAGCAGCAGTATTCTCAGTTGTTCAGATGGTGGATCCACCTGTACAGGTGGAATGGACTGCCAGAATCTCCTGGAAGGTAGTGTGGTAGAGAGGAAAGGGTAAGGATAGGAGTATCCTGGTTCTGCTCCCCTATAGAGGCCTTACATAGGTTACTTCACCCCTGAGCCTCAGCTCCTAAACTCTCAAATGGGGAAAATTAATACCTACTTTGCAGGGGTTTTGTGAGGATTAAAGATTATTATGTTAAATGTCAAACTATAAGTCTATATACCTTCTGGATCTTCGGGTTTTCGAACTTTCTCCCATTCTTCTTGCCTTCTTTTGCGCCGTTCATCTAGTTCTGCCTCAGATATAAACCTCTTTTTGATAATAAGGTTACCATCATCCCCTCCATCCATAATTAAACAAGGAGTCTACAAAAAAAAAAAAAATTTCAAGTGAGAACTGCAATCAAAATCCTAAAGAGAAACAAGGAGCTTTAGCTGTCCTACCCAGCAACAAACTAAAAATTTTCTTCAAACTTTGAAGTGAAAAAAAACTTTAGTTTAATTTATAGATCATTGAAGAAAAAGCACATTATTACATTTTTCCTAATGCACCATATAGTTTTTATGAATATCCATGTTATCTACAATGTCAGAGAAAGGACCTGGAATAATTCTCATTACCTGGTATTCCATACCAAATCTCACACTGCAGATATTTTTCTATCCCTCTAATCCAGACAAATGGGCCTCCTGGCCACCCCATCCTTTTCCCAGCTCTCATCCTCCTTTTATTTCTGTAACAACTGACATTGTTCCTTCTTGAAATTCCTGTTTCAGGGACATTACACTATCTTGATTCACCTGCTCTTGTATGTTATGTGTTACTCACAGCATTAGGCCTTAACAAGGAGGCAAATATTCAACCCAATGTCCATTCTAATAACCCCTAATAACAAAAATAATACAATAACTCTCTACTGCCACCACAAAAACAAAGCAGCTAATATTTATTGGGCTATTACCATGTAAATATTTTTTATGTATATTATCTCACGTACACGCACATTGACCCTATGAGAAATATTATTTCTTTAGAGATGAAGAAGTTGAGGCCCAGAGAAGTGACGTAACTTGTCTAAGGTGATACAAGTAGTGAATGATAGAGTCAAGAATCAAATACAGGCCTGACATCAAAAATTCATACTCTTATGCACTTCGCCATACTCCTCCCCAGAAACCTCTAAATCTTGGTTGAAAACAAGGGCATGTCAATTTCAGCTTTTCTTCACACATCAAATTCCAGCACTAAAAATGGTCATGCAACAGTTCTATTTAGTAAAGACGGAAATGGAAGCTGAGAAAATACACCAAAACTTTCAGAACAAGAGAAACTGTCTCAGCCTGAATCCTACTGTTTTTGAGGTTTAGTTCAATTAACAACAATAAGAAATAATTTTGAGGGCCGGCCCGGTGGCGCACTGCTACAGTGCGCCGCTTGGGAGCGCGGCGGCGCGTTCGGATCCCACATACAGACCAGCGGCTCACTGGCTGAGCGAGGTGCGGACGTAACACCGAGGGTTGCGATCCCGTTGCCAGTCCCGGTCCGGTACGGGCGCGACACTGAGGGTTGTGATCCGTTGCCGGTCACGAAAAAAGACAAAAAGGAAAAAAAAAAAAAGAAAAGAAATAATTTTGAAAATTACTAAAAAGAAACCTAAATTAACTAACAGAAGCTGTTGTTTTCACCTAAACCCCACAACCCTGACACTTCCAACTTAGCATCACTCGATGTCTCCAGACAGGCTTGTTATAAAAGCAGAATTGTAATTTTGAAAATTACTAAAAAGAAACCTAAATTAACTAACAGAAGCTGTTGTTTTCACCTAAACCCCACAACCTTGACACTTCCAACTTAGCATCACTCGATGTCTCCAGACAGGCTTGTTATAAAAGCAGAATTGTTCACTCTGTGACCATGCCAAAAATTCCTCAAGTTCTGCAGAACATCTTATAAAACAAGAGCCAACAATTTCTTAAATGTCCCCAACAAAGAAAACGTGAACTCTGTAGGGCTCTAATGGATGGGAGAGACTTACCAGGCCCTCAACTTTCCCCTTTCTTATCATCTATTAGCTGTCATTCTCCTTTCTCTCCCTATATTAGCTGTCTGGTTTCTTTTCTTCACCCCTCTTTCCTGGCAAATAATTCAGAGTGGGACAGAACCTGATTGCCCACCTAATATGATACTCCATCCACTATACACACCCAGGAGTTGATCATCCAATTCATATTTTTATTTATTTATTTATTTTTACTTATTTATTTATTCATATTTATCATTTATTTGTTTGTTTGTTTGTTATTTTAATTTTTTTTTTAAAGATGACCGGAAGGGGATCTTAACCCTTGACTTGGTGTTGTCAGCACCACACTCACCCAGTGAGCTAACCGGCCATCCCTATACGGGATCCAAACCCGTGGCCTCGTTGTTATCAGCACCACACTCTACCGAGTGAGCCACAGGCCGGCCCCCCAATTCATATTTTAAAACTTCAAGATGGGGCCGGCCCGGTGGCACACTGCTACAGTGCGCCACTTGGGAGTGCGGCAGCGCTCCCGCCGAGGGTTCGGATCCCACATACAGACCGGTTCCCGCTCAGTGGCTGAGCGAGATGAGGGCGCAACACCGAGAGTTGCGATCCCGTTGCCGGTCCCGGTCCGGTACGGGCGCGACACTGAGGGTTGCGATCCGTTGCCGGACACGAGAAAAGACAAAAAGGAAAAAAAAAAAAAACAAAAAAAACTTCAAGATGAACTACTGCACTCCCTTCCCAGGCAGCCAATTCCATCCTCTGAGCAGATCTGACTTTTAGGATAGTTCTTCCTTAAACTGAGCTGAATTACTCACAGCTTACTTTCTCACCTCTACACATGGCTTTGCCTAGGCTGTTCCCTCTGTCACAAATGCAGGATGCCTCCTTTTCAACCCCATGCAAATTCCTGCTCCACCTGCCCAGACTCAAGATTGAAGAACACCACCTTTATGAAGATTTCCAAGACTTCCTAGAGTACTTAGTATATATTTCTTTCCTCTGTGTTCCCACTACAGCCATTCATAATTCTACTACAGCACTTATCCATTGTGTTTTATTATTCATGATTGTTCTAACAGCTCTTTGTATCCACAGTGCTTATTAGCACAGTGTCTGCAATACATTAGGTATATAATAAACCACTCACTGAATAAAACAGCTATGAGGTGGAGATTTAAAGAATGTGAGCAGGGAGGAATGTTCTCACATGAATATTTCTAGATACTTTCCAATGCAAGTTATAGAGAATGGTAGCCATTAAACAAGTATTTACTGAAGCTTCAGTGTCCCTTAGGGAATTCTATTCAAACACTGTCCATTTTGTTTGTGCAGCAGAAAAACAAAGCACCAAAAATTAAATCATTTTATTATATAATTGACATCATCTTTCAAGAACAACTCTTGCTAGTTTCCTTTAATTTCTTTTTTTTTTTTTTAAAGATGACCAGTAAGGGGATCTTAACCCTTGACTTGGTGTTGTCAGCACCATTCTCATACAGTGAGCTAACCAGCCATCCCTATATGGGATCCGAATCCGTGGCCTTGGTGTTATCAGCACCACACTCTCCCGAGTGAGCCACGGGCCAGCCCCTACTTTCCTTTAATTTCAACTGACTAAAAATCCTCACTTATACTGAGAAATAAGTATTTACTGCACAAAACAATTTTCTTCATTGGCTGTTTATTCTGCAATAGGAGGTGCTAAATACCTGCAACTTACTGACCTCCTTTGGGAAGTACACAGAGAAGCTAGGAAATTAGATTGCATTCCTACTGCCTGGCTAAATTTTCACAAGTCTCTTCTTTTTCCCTTTTGTTTGCTAGAATAATTAAAAATAAAACAAAAGAAAAACAAATAGCTCAGAGTTATAGGGATCTAACTATCAAGAACCTTGTAAGAGGGCTGGCCCGTGGCTCACTTGGGAGAGTGTGGTGCTGATAACACCAAGGCCAAGGGTTCGGATCCCTATACAGGGATGGCCGGTTAGCTCACTTGGGAGAGCGTGGTGCTGACAACACCAAGTCAAGGGTTAAGATCCCCTTACTGGTCATCTTTTAAAAAAAAAAGAACCATGTAGCAATGCAGAAGATTTACATTGAGAATGTTTATTTTGTCCTTACTGTGTTCAATTATAGAAACAGTAAATGCTGTCAACTTTTTTTTGGAAAGTCACTCAAGTTTAATTATCAAACTAAACATTACATTATTTTTAAAAGTATTATTTACATTCTTCAAATAGAGGTTCCCTGGAAACCCAAAATCACTTTGTCCAAACTTAAAAGTTTCAAACCGGCACAAATAAAGCACATGGTTCTCAAATTTGCTTGACAGCCAAGAAAACAAAGTTCTTATATTTCATGCCAAAGTAACTGTTAAACACTGCACTACTGTTTTATACTACAGACTGTGATATTTAATTTCCAAGTTGGTGGGATAAAATGGGCTCAGTGTCTTATATAGCATACTATGCAAGTTTTAAAATACAAAACTTACATCCATGCCCCCAAATAAGTGCTATCCCTGACTTAAAAAATTCCTCCATTTAGCTAGTGTCATGACACAAGTTAATGAGATCTGGTTTCCTATGGAATTGAATTTTGTGATGGCAGACTACTGTTTACATTTCTGGCCACCATATCCTCCTAATTCTAAAATTAGATAGATTGTACATGTAAAAATACACCGGGGGAATCAGATTTCTGTGTTATGGAGTTCCAAGGCTTCACTTTGAATAGCAAAAACAATAGGTCAATCTATTTCCTTTTGTCACTAAATATAGTTTACTGTTTCCAATATTTTTACCCTGATGTTCAAGTCACATTGTACTTCAAAAATGCAGGATAGCAACTGAGAGGAATCTGCTATCTGGCTAACTCAACTATATTCCAAATAAAGATTGCTTTCTGGTCAGAAGGCACTTCTACCATAATACAATAATCTACATCAAGCTGACTTTTCCTATATTGTTAAACTTCTTCAAAGAATGACATCTACTGAGAGTAATCTGTTACTATTTATTACTAGACAAAGTAAAGTCAATCTTCTAACACTGATGCTTGTTTAATATACTCCAGTAGCAAAGGAGACTAAAATAATCTAAAAAAGACTATAACATAAACAATTTAATCCATAGTTAAAATGTTTATTACAAAAAGCAATTTGTAACCTTCTAGGCATCTAAAAAACACATGCAGTAATAAGTTAAAATATATATATATTTATCTTTCCATAGCCCAAGAGTAGTTTCATTTTACCTTGAATTCACGTATATGGACTAGAAGAAAAAAGAGAGAACTAGTTTAAATGCTGGTTCCCTTAGCTGATCCTCAGCTCCCCAGTTCACATGTACCTATCAGTATATAAACACTGCCTGCACTACATATGACTCTAATATTAGTCCTGTTTTTTTTTTTTAACATATTGCAACTCCTAAATGCAAACCAACTATTTCATCTGGGGCTCACAGTAAGAAAAACGGCAGGTTTTTACAAAGGTGGAGGAAATACTGGCTGAGGATATAGGGAAAAAACCAAACCAAAGTGCTTTTCCTATTCACTCAACAATCAATACAGAATATTTCTGACACCAGATGTGAGGGGGTATTTCTCAACATACCAAGCAGTTCTGCAGTGGACACCAGCTGCGTATCCTCTAATTCAATTCAGTTCTGACAATATCTACCTGGAGATAGCTTCAGATTCCACAAGACTTCAGATCCCACAAAACTGCCCCCCACCTCAGAGGCCAATGGCAAGCCACGGGTTGTTTTACTTGTGCTTCTGACCAATCAGCTAAAAATCAAGGTTCCCACGACCTCCTCCTTGGGTTTGCAAAACTCAGGAAAACACTTTACTTACATTTACTGGTTTGTTATAAAGGATATTACAAAGGATACAGATGGAGATTCATAGGGCAAGGCATGTGGGAAGAGGTGTGGAGCTTCTATGTCCTCTCTGGGAGTGCCACTGTCCAGAAGTTTCCTGAATGCAGTCTTCTTGGGTTTTTATGGAAGCTTCATAATGTACGCACAATTAATTAAATCATTGGCCGGTGGTGGTCAACTCAACCTTCAGCCCCTCTCTCCTCCCCAGAGGTTGAGGGATGGGGCTAAAAGTTCCAACCCTCTAATCATGCCTTTGTCTTTCCAGTGATGGGGGTGGAGGGTGGGGGCGTCAAGTGTAGCCTTGATATACACTATTTTGCCATCTGGGCTGGCTTTAGAACCTAACTCACACACCAAATCATATTCCATCCTCTTCCGCATTCCCCTTATATAAATAACACTCACTATAAGACCAAATTAGAGGGCCGGCCGGTGGCGCACTCGGTTCAGTGCTGCGCTTGAGAGCGCGGCGGCGCTCCCGCTGAGGGTTCGGATCCCATATAGAGACCGGTCCACTCACTGGCTGAGTGCGGTGTGGGCGCGACCGTGTGGGCGCGACACCGAGGGTTGTGATCCCGTTGCCGGTTGCGGTAACCGGGCGCGACACCGAGGGTTGCGATCCCGTTACCGGTCAGGAAAAAACACAAAAAGGGAAAAAAAAAAATAAATAAAAAATAAGGGGCTGGCCTGGTGGCGCACTGGAGAGTGCACCGCTTGGGAGCACGGCGGTACTCCCGCCGAGGGTTTGGATCCCATGTGGAGACCGGTTCCCGCTCACTGGCTGAGCGCGGTGCGGGCGCAACACCGAGAATTAGAAAAAAAAAAAAAAAGGCTTTGCATTAAAAAAACTGAACAAGGCTAATTCAGTTTTTAAAAAAATTTTTAAAGCAAACCTTTGCAGAGGATCTATTTTGTGCAAGGTACACTGCTTGATACTAAACAGGCAAGTGAGAACTTGCATTCAGTACAAGAGATAAGGTTGAAACATGAACAATTTAAGGAAAAGTAGAATGAGGAGTAGAAGCTAGGCACTAAGGAGTTCAGAAAAGAAAGACTAGAATAAAGCATCAGGGAAGCTTAATTTTCATAGGGGCTGCAACAATACAGTGAAAAGTGGTATAACTTTTAGGTAAATAAAGAAAAATCATCTTTAACTTAAGAGTGCTGGCGATCACACACATTTTACTCTCCAAAATCAGAATGAAGGGGGCTTTCATTTTGGAAAATAGTGGGCTGGGTAATTGAGACCAATTCTCCACCTCTATGCTAAAAAAGCTGGAAATTCTAAAAAAGTAATTCTTAAACTAACAGAAAAGCTAACAAGATACCAAAGAATCGGGCAAAATCTAGGAGAAGGTGAAAACCAGAAATTAAGCCTAATATTCAAAGTGGATTTCATCCTGAAAACGTCTCTGACCTGAAAACTACAATTTCAGTGCCTTTTGAGGCAACAGAAACGAGTCAAAGCCAGAAGCCCACCCAGGATGTGCAGTCTGACAACCACATCCCTCTCCATCTTAATCTGGTACCCAAAGAACTACACCCTCAAGGTAACGATGAACTAAAGATAAAACAGCAGGAATAATGAACAACAGAAACAGACCCAAATGGAATTCAGATAGCGGAATTAAGCAAATAGATTATAAAACAACTATGCTTACCACGTATAAAGAAATAAAAATAAAGCCTCAAAATAGCAGGAAATAAGAAACTGTGAAACAGTGGCACAAACCAAAAAGAAATTCAGGAACTAAAAAATACAATAACTGAATTTAACATTTCAGTGGATGAATTTAATAACAGATTGAAAGTAACTTAAAAATCAATAAAGAAATTATCCAGAATATATTATGGAAAAAGAGAAAGAAAGAGGCATAGAAAATAGAGTGAAAAGGTCTGTGTTAAACAGTAAAGAAGAAAATGAGAGAATGCAACAGAAGCAATATATGAATACAAAATGAACCCTGCCCCCGGTATCATGTGATGGTCCCCTCTGCAACCAGTTTTCCCAACCCTTCTTGGATGAAGGAAGTCTGAAGGCCAGCCCTTTTTCGAGGGAATAACTTTCCTCCTCCCTGTTTTGGCCAGGAATGTTGGGACAGTGTGCGATTTCTCAGTGATTTCCTACAGTGTCGTTCCCTCTCTCAAGGTTAGGAGAGGATAACCACCATCCTAGGGATTCTTAATACATTTTTATTACTTAAGCTAAAAAAAAAAAAGGCTGAGAATTTTACAGAGTTTACGAAAAACACTAATCTGCAGATTCCAGAAGACTAATAAATAAGAAATTGAACAAAAACAAATCCACAGTTGGACACACAGTAGTGAAAATGCAGAAAATCAAAGACAAAATCTTAAAAACACTTCTATTGTAAAGAGTGAAACAGATCATATTTGAGAATGAAGACAAAGTATGTTCAAAAGGGGATTTACAGTGAGAACACTGAAATGGGTCATTTAGCTGCCACAAAGGCATAAGTACACTACGACGGAGCCCATAGCTAAGCCATACACTTAAATCACTTCATTTACCAGATCCGTGGTTTTCAATTTCTAAAGCGGCAGCCTGACCCTAACCAAACATCAAGTGCGTGTGAAGACTGATAACCAGGTAAATGGTCTTGACGTAATTCTTCCTTTCTTAGAACCATGAAGAATTCCTCATGTGGTAAAAAGCATTAAGACTTCAGTTGAGAAAGATAACCCAGGAAGCCTCTGCTTTCAGAGCCTTACAAACCGTTCACAGCTCATCTCAGGCTATCTGAAAGATACAAGGTGCCTTTACCTCTGCTCAATTTCCTGTATCAAAAAGGAGTCTACAAAGTGATTCCGTTCAAAGATTTCAGGAAAAGTGCCCTCAAAAACATTTTATGATATCCCCGTTGACACTTCAAAAAACCAAACTGAAGAATCAACAAATCTCTCTCAACCGGTAAACAAGAGGTCATTGGGAATTCTGACCACCAGCTTCAAACTTGGCTTTCTGGGTTCCACTCCCGACCTACTCAAGACTACGTGGGGATGGGGGTCTAAGAATACGCATTTTAAAAGGACCCCCGAAGATGGTATTTCCACTAACGTTTAAGAACCACTGCTATGAACGAATAGGTCTTCCTTTCCCTTTCTATGTGGACTGACATTCACAAGGGCCACCAACTCTCAAGACGATTAAAACTCTCAGTCTTAGCTCCCTAAGTTTTCTGCAAAACGTCACGCTGGCTTGCCTTCTATTAGAAGAAACTGCTCTTAGCACAGCAACTGGTACCTGGTACACAGTAAATGTTTCCCACCCTGCATTTATATTCTAGGATTCAGTCATCTCCATCCAGGCATCCCCACATCTCCTGATTACCCCGCAGCTGCTCCAACACCTCTGAAATAGAGCCGACTCCTCACTTGAGGCCTGGGTGGCCCCACCTAACAGAAAAGTGGAGAAAGCCAAAAAGAGGCCCTGCAGTCCTAGGCCCGCCTGAAAGGGTCAGGGAGCCTCCCCCCATGAAGCAGAGGCCTTCCTACGGGCTCCCTTGGCTTCCCTCAGGATGAGCCCCGCAAGCCCCCGGCCCGGCGACCGAGGATACTGGGCGAGCGCGCGAACCGAGAACAGGCCTGACCCTAACTCTAGCAGCAGCCGCAGCTGCCCATTTCCTCAGCCGAGGAGCCCAGGTTTCGCCGCCTGGCCAGGACCCATGCCACACTCACCTACCAGCGCGCGGGAGGCGAGACTCCCTCACCTCGGCGGCGCCCACCCCAAACCGCCACCACAAAGGGCCCTTGCACTTTAAAAAAATAAAGAAAGAAAAAAAGAGAGTCAGGAAAAAAGAAAAAAATTAGCCTTTGCTTTTGTATTTCTTTGACCCTTCTGGGCTTCCGGCTCCTCACCGCCACAACAAAGTTCCGCCCCTCTTCCGGCGGCGTAACCCAATCCACACTTCTCTTCCTTCCAGGAGCCCGATGGAAATCCGGTGCTCCAAACACAAGCCGGAGACACTTGATTGGGCTATTCACACCTCAGCAAGGGGATTGGCCAGCTCATGTCTGGGGGGGCGGGCCAGCCCGCGGCACCACGTGATATAGTTTCTGAAATATGATTGGCTGTCAGGGAGAGGATTTGCCACCTAGGAAGGGGCGTTTCCTAGGCGACTGAGGGAGGGCCGGGGCGGTACGAAGCGGGGGTGGGCCCTGCGCGTAATGGCAGTGTGGTGGCCTCGCGTCCATCTTTACCGCTCTCTCGGACCTGTCACAAAGGACTCGCGCCGCCGCCCCCTCCCTCCGGTGGGCCCGGAAGCTGGAAAGAGTCGGTGCCGCATCCTGGCCGCGCTGCTCTAGGAAAGCCCCTAGGGGTGCGGAGCGGGAGGGAGTCCGAGGGCTGTGGACATCTGTGACCGAAGAGAACAGCCGCTCGAGTGTGAAGCGGGGAGACTGGACTGGGGCCGGAGTCTGGGAAAGGGCCCGAGAGACGGTGGCGTTGGGCAGAG